CCCCTTTCAATTCCCCCCAAATCTCCCCCTCCTCAACTCTCAGTGATGATCTCAACTCGAATCATCCTCTGATATTTTGTTTTTCTGAATTGAGTTTTTCTCTTTTATGTTTTTCTTCCGACTAAACAATCTCTCATTCTTAGTAAACTTTTTTATAATAGAAAGCTTTTCTTCTCGTTTTCTCTTTCTTCTTCTATGTAGTCTTTCACTTTCGGTTATCTTTGTAATATTTCACCCCTTTTCTGTATCTCTCTTTTTATACATCTTCTTTCACTTTCATTTAATTTTGCAATAATATGTTTTCCTTCCGTTTTCTCGTTCTTCTTCTACGCACTCTCTCACTCGTTTAAACCTGTCTTATCTCTCACACATAAGTGTATAAGTATTTCAAAGTTTGATTCACTTCTTCGGACACACAACAAAAATAAACATATGAGCAGGTGTCTTGAGCTTTCGTCCGTAAAGTAATTGTAATAGCACACACTTTACACCTTCTTCAACACAATTTAGACCATCTAGGAGGCAGGCTGTTTCACAGAACACATGTCAGGGCCACCCACCCCACCCCCCGCTCAGAAAAATTCCACGTTGCAAAAAAACAAAACCAGACGAAGATAATAAATAGAAAAAACCCTCCCCACGAAGGGACCGAACCCTTGTTTTCTGAACACTACAGCGAGGCATCTAAGCACTACACTAGAATTCTCAGGTGCTCTAGTAATTAGATTAGTATGGGGTTTTACGGCGCTCGCAACTGCATACATAAGGTCATATGAGTGCACAGTAAGTGATCCTGCCTGCACTTTTTCAAGCTTTTTTCCCCTCTGTAGAAAACATTTTTTGGGTGTCTTTTAACCGATCCGTGTCTTATAATTTAGCCATTAAACACAAGTGTATCTTCTTTCACTTTTGAAACAAGTAAGTACCATTTTCCTTTCTGTGAGGACATGGTTTTTTTTCCTTTTTCAAATTAGACTTTCTTATTTCTCTCTACAAAAATATCTTCTTCTTTTTTTTCTAAACAGAAATACATTTTCTTCTTTCTTTTTTTCTCTTTTAGAATGCTTTCTTTCTTTCGTTTCTTTCTTTCTTTTAAAACAAAAATATTTCTTTCCTATTCTTCTTTATTTAAAAAAAAAGTTCTTTCATGCTTCTATTCGTAGACATGTGTGTCTATTTTTAGAAACGAGTGGCTAAGCGTCTCTCACCTGGGTCGCACATATCCCCCGGGCGGCATCTGCAGACTGGCGTATTCGTCCCTCCCTCTGTCCATCTGCTGCTGCTGCTGCGACGAGGTGGGGGGAGGATAACCCGTGGGATCCCATGAGGAGGCTCCCGGCCCACCACCGCCACCACCACCAGACCCACCAGCCCGCGAGCGACTTAGCTCTCGGTGGTCCATGTAGACTTCGTTGGCGTAGGCTTTGGGGGAGTCGTAAAAGTCCTGACCCGCGGTGGGTGGGGGTGGAGTGTGGTGGGGGTGATTTTTACTTCAGCTT